CACGATTATTTGTTGTTTAAAAAATTAAGAGAAAATTTGGTTTTTAAAAATTCTAAGCAGATTATAAATCAAAACACAAAAAAAAATTTTTACAAATTTTAAAATACCCTGACTTATAAAAATATTGGCCCTTTACAAACCTTCAAATATAGGCATTTTCTTGAATAAATAGGGATTTAATAAATTTTAATCAAACTAAATTAATGAAATAACCAAATATTTGTTACTAAATATTATATAGTTGGGGTGAGGGGTGAGCGCATTACATTTTGCGTTTTACACGATTGCCTCTTACGCGCAGCAGTGATCGGATCTCAATATGGTGTCAACTTTCGGGCTAGAAAACCTGATAGTAAAGTGGTAGTGACATACTAATGGATGTCAGATTAAGCGGAAATGAACTATAAACTTATAGGGATATTAATGCGAGGTTGACATACAAGTACAGTGACACAATAAATGAGGTCGAAAATATATATCTAAATATATTTTTAATTTTAAGGGATTTCCTTAATATTAATTTAAAATTCAATTAATTCTCTACTACATAAAATAATAATAAAAATGCGCAGAAAGTCTTCATTTCCATTTTATTTTTCGCCTTCAATTTTGGCAATTTTGCTGTTTTCCATTTCCTTCCAATGGAGCCAACAAGTATCCGCCTATTATTCACAACAACTTTTCATGCCTAGCGGATATTTAAGCCATAATTTATTTGGATTTCAGTAAGTTTTTTTGGAAATAATTCAAATATAGACAGACCCCTATTTAGATACACCCAAAGACTAGGCAAGAGAGCTGTTTAAGTGATACTGCCTATTCAAGATATCCTCCTGTTATAAGGTCACTGATTTTCTCAGTCCCTAATTGGTGTATCTAAGTGTGAGATTAAAAATTTTTACTTACAAACTCCTCGCTTTTTTAGTTACACCCCTAATATTAAACAGCTCAATTTATGATAATTCTTTTTAAAACTTGGTTAGCGGGAAAGGGAGCTTAGGTATATCCCCCTATTCAATTATACCCCTCACTATTAAGGTCACTGTTTTTCTCAGCCTCAAGAGTTTATCTAGAAGTGAGATCCGACTTTAATAATTAAAATAATTAAAATGATTAATTTATTTTTAAAAGGCATCCTTCCCGAATTGGCGATTCTGGACATGTAAATACTGTAAGTGAAGAACCAAAAATGGTAATAATTGAAGGAGAACAAAATGACAACGATTTGGAGACAAAAACAGAAAATCAAAATTCAGCAGAAAAAGTAAAAGAAAAATTTTTTGAGTCAAAAAAAAATTTATTTTTCAAAAAAAGGAAATTCCTCGGCGTCAAATGCGTCATTTATTGGCTGATGAATTTGGTACTGGTCGAATGGGCCGACAATATAAGCGAATGCGACCTTGCTTTTATTCGCCAATTCAGTGTTTAATGAGAAAAAGGCGATCGGGAGAATAAATAAAAATTAAAGAATAAATTTTGTTTTTTTATTTGAAAAAAGAAAAATGGCTGGGCAGGCTAGAGAAAAGAAAAAAATTTTTTTAATTAGAAAATGATCTCAAAAATTATTTTTTAAAATATTTCTTTTTCTCCCTCTTCTTTTGTATGAAAAAAAATTATATTTTTTTGATAAATGAGATTTTATATATAAATTTATTTTTTAAAATATTATTTAAAAATTAAGGATTATTTTATGTTTGAAAATTTTAAAAATATTTATCTTAGCTTCTCTTAAGTTTCTTGCGTAAATTGTAAGTGCCTTTTAATTAATAAAATCAAAATTAACCTACCGTACTCTTTAATAACTACCTGGGTAATTATTGTTTCGACTTTTCACTGGAGGAAGTAGTTAATCGAGGGAGGGTATTTATACGGGGTTTGAAATCTGAACGTGTTTTGTTTTCATTTGTTTGGGGGTAATTATTGTTTCAATCTATCTCTGGATTGGGTATTTAGTAGAAGCGGGGGTAATTATTTGAGGGAGGGCAATAATGCAGGTTATACAGTAATACTTTTTTATTTTATGATCTGGATTGAGTTGCTACTTAAAGATTTAGGGGAATGTGTTAAGAGGGAAATGTGTTATCAATTTAGTTTCATTAATTAATTGAGAACAAAAGCTTTTAATTAAAAATTCTTTTTTTTCTACAATTAAAAGACTCACAATTTTCAGCCAAAAAGTTTACTCACAATTCAACTAATAAATATGAATAAAAAATAAAAATAAATTTAAATAATTTTCTTTAATCAAATAGAGTGGTAGACAAAGGAATAGGGGGGACAAATCTCAAAAAATATTTATCATTTTTGTCCCTTATTGTATGTATAATTTACTAAAAATTAAATTTTTTCCTTTGATTTTTTTTCTTCTTCTCATTTAATTTCGTTTCCAAATCTTTTATTTCCATTCTTAATTTTTCATTTTCATTTTTAATATATTTAAAGGTTCTTTTACAATTTCCTTCTTTTTCACAATTTTCTTCTTCTAAATTTCCCAAATTTATCATTTCACCGCTCTTATTTTTTAAATTAATTTCATAATTATCCTCAATTAATTCAATTTCATAAATACATTTATATTTCCCTTCAATTTTAATATATTCACATTTTTTTGCTTGTTCAATTTCCGGTATTGGTCTATCCAAATTTATATGTCTAGTTTTTTGACTATCTAAAAATATAAACAATTTAAAGAGCCTGGGCCTGTTCCTGGACTCAGGAGTTTGTTTTGTTGACCTCTCTCTCTCTCCAGACAAGCAGATTACTGTATATACTCTATTAATTACCCTGGGTAATTATTATTTCAACCTCACTATGGAGAGGATAATTAATAGAGAGGGGGGATTAATAGAGGGGGTGGGTAATTAATAGAGGTTATTTATGAAGGCGAACTATACCTATCTTTAATTGGGGTGATTATTGTTTCGATCTCTCGTTGAAGGGGGTAATTAATAGAGGCTAGGTAATTATTTGATGGGAGGGTTTTGATTGTCGGTCCTGACCAGATTTTCGGCCATAGGTCAAGGAAAAATCAAGGGACACTCAAAAATCTTCCTGCAAAGGGCCGACATATGGAAAAAATGGCTTAATCTTGACTTTGGATCCAGAAGAAAATTTAGGCCTTGATCCAGACCAGGCCGATCTCCACTAAATTTATTCATATTTACAAAAAATTAACAAATATTTTTTGCAAAATAAAATAATTATCTTTCGATTAATTTGAGTAAAAACCTTTTAAATATTCAAAAAAAGCTTCTGGCATCCCATTTTTAGTCAAATTATTATATTTTAAATAAATTGTATCAACTGGACATGGAGCAGAAATTATTAAAATACCAAATATTGCCCCTTTTAAATATTTAATTGGTGAAATTTTCTTTTCCAAAACATTTTGGAATTTTATTTTAATTTTTTCTTTAAAATTTCCAACAAATTTACAAACAGAATTTGACCAATTGTTAGGTGAAGATTCTACTCCCATTTCAAAATCTGGTAATACTTTGGATGTGGCCCTCCCTTTTCCTTTCTATTTTTTCCTTTTTTTTTCTTATTTTGTGGCAAATTATATACTCGTCTCTTCGAGTCGAGTCGAATAACACTAAAATCAACGAGATCTGACTTAAGTCAACACGGGTATGATTTGTTTTAATCCCTTGAAACAGGACAAGGTTTTTCCATCGAGGATTGTAAAGCATAGGGCTATTTAATTACTAAGGCTGTGCAGTAGGGCTAACACATCAGTCCGGACTACTGAAGGCTCGCTCTCAGTCGCTAAATAACCCTTTGCAATAAATAACCTTTTGCACTAGCTAATGGAGAGAAATAGCTATAGCCCAGTTGCCTTACTGGATTGAGATTCATAATCTTGTACAGAATGATCAAATCTAACCGATAATGGTATCATTCGACCAAGCTCGAAGAGCTCTTTGAATAAAATAGGTTATATATCAAACGAAGAGCTCATATTGGCCAGGGAAACGGGGAAAGAGGAGGTGAAGCGTGGGCGAAAAAAAAGGGCATTTTTAGTTTATTTATTTATGTGACAATCACATGTACAAATTTGTACTTTTTCGATTAAAATAAAGCATCAAAAGAAATTTTTTTTAAAATGAAAAAAAACAAAAAAAATAAACATAGCTTTAGTAATAAATCTGATTTTCTATTGGGACCTCTTGTCACATCCGGCCTACTCACCAGACTTGGCACCTTCTGATTTTCATGCATTCCAGTCGCTGAAAAACTACCTCAGAGGCAAACAATTAAAAAATGATGAACAGCTCGAAAGACAATGGATTGCTTCCAAACTCGGCACAGACTTTTGGGAGAAAGGAATTTTCAAAAGTTTACAAAGCGCTGGAGACTTGCAGTGTTACACAGTGTTACAACAAGGAGATTATATCGCTGATTCAATTTGTTTTTTGTTTATTTATTACATTTTGATATTGAGAAAAGATGATAATTAATTATACTACAACTCAATATAAAGTGGAGAATTGTAGTGTTGCAACAAGGAATAAGTTACAACATCTAATTATTCTATTAAAACTCCCTTTGCTTCTATTATAATCCTCATAATTTTCATTCAAATACAAACATCGCTCCTACTCCTTAAACCTCTTTTTTTTAAAATTATTCCTAATATTGTTCCAATTAATAGCCAACATTTTTTCTAACAAAAATATATTTAAAAACAATTAAATGGGGGAGAGATTATGCAGTATATTTAATTATATATATTTTAGTTCATCAAATTAAAAAAAATTTCTTTAAAGCTTGATGAAACCAAAAATATTTTTATATAATTAATATGGCGCGGTTAAAGAAATAATTTTAAAGAAGAAAAAATTAATTTTTAAAAACAAAACAAAAAAATTCTTTTAAAGTTATGGGAGGAGAGAAAAAAAAATTAATTACTATTTCCGATGAAGGTCAAGTTTATTCAAGGTTATCTTTCTTTCATTTCTTCTTTTTGGATTTAAATATTTGTTGTTGTCCGTCTTCTATTAACTTTTTATTGGTTCCATCAATTCTCCACTGCTAAAAGTAATCAAAAATAATTTTTTTTATTATTTTTTTTTCTAAAATTTGTTTTTATTGTTAGTTTGTTAAACAGGTGTTTTTGATTCTTTAATTTAAACTGAAGACTAGAGGTCTAAATCAGTCATCATAACCAAAGACTAATATTCTTTATAACTGATTAATAACAATTAATCAACAACTCTAACTAGTATTTACCTATTTTCTATATAGTATTTAATTTTTACAAACTACCCACCAAAATAAAAAAATTATTTTGAGGTTTTATAATCAAAAAAACTGTCCCATTTTTAATCCTATTCAAAAATAAATTTTTTTAATTTAATTTTACCAGCTTTATATTTTTAAATTTACCTAATAGTAGTTTCAGAAGTAATATTATTAGCATTTCCATTAGTTAAAACTTCTTTCGATTTCTTTTCAATTTTTGTATAACGATTTCCAGAACGTAAATAAGTTTGATAAAAGAAATTACAAAAAAGCAAAAAATAACTCAAATAAATTAAAAGAGAAATGTAGAGATTAGTCCAAGTATTTTGACATTCAATTCCAACAGATTTTAATCTTTAAAAAATAAAGATTTTTTAGTAATTGAGTTATTTGAAGCAGGGAGAAAAGACAGACTGGGTTTTAGATTTTGGTTCGAAAAAAGTCCAGATTTCGAGTATCGGATACTGGTGAGGGACTGGGTGAGAAAAAGGTCAGATTGGGTTTCGGACAGGCCCGTAGCCAGAATTTTTTTCGAGGGGCCAAGGGGGGAATTTTTCTCCATCCTCTGGCTACGAGCCTGGTTTCGGAAAAAGGTTCGGATCGGGTATTGGATTTCAAACTAAAAAAAGTTCAGGATTCGGGTAACGAATAATCATTCCCCTTCCTGATATTGCTCAAATTTGATTACACAAACTGAAAACCACAATTAAAAATCGGTGAAACCGAAAATCAATTGACAGGCTATAAATCGAATTTGAGCACCCTATATGGACCAATTTCTGTTTTACCAATTAAAAATTTTAAAGATCTGAGAAAAATACAAAAATTTTAGAATGAAAAGAAAGTTCTCAAAATCCCCTTCCAACCAACACAAATATTAATTTCTAAAATAAACATCAACAAACAAACCTGACGATATAAATACTTATAGCTAATCCAACAATCATTTGAGATATTTGTAAAAGAGTAACAAAAATTGCAGTCCATTTGGGTAATTTATATTGTAAAGCTCTTAGGGCATAATAAGTATACCTTTAAATTTTGATTTTTTAGAAAAAATTTTCAGAAAAATTTTACATAAAAGAATGAACAACATAATTCATTGCAATAAACCATCTACCACTAGCAGCATGATCTTTGTACATCATCCAAGTTGAGATCAATACCTTAAAAAGGAGATTTACAACAAATTAAATGGATTTTGAATAAAGGTAAAAATGCTTGGAATTAAAAAAATTTTTTTTGAATACTAATACTGAAGGTGTTAAAAATTTCTAAATTTTCTCAAGTTTCTTCTAATTTTTCCTAGGTTTTTGTTTAGTGTTCAGAAATTTAAAATTCTATAAATAACTCTCAATTTCGTACAGGCTTTCTTTCTCCCCAAACTCTTACACGCTCAATTTTTCTCGTACCTATTATTATTCCCCATAGTTTTTCTCCAAAACAGTATAGGCAACACAGGTACGAGTATGAATTTTGATACGAGAAATTGGACGGATTCAACCAAGGAACAGATTTCCTTGTTATTTTACTTCGATCGATTTATACAAGAATTTAGATAAAATTTATTTGAAATTGAGGGATTAGAACTTTGCCAAAATCAAAATTCTGCGAAAATTTCGAACCAAGGCCTGGGTTTTTCCTATATCCAGAGTTCAGGCACAGGCATTTTTTATACTTCCTGGGTTTTTCCCGGACTACAGGCCCAGGATCCGGCCCCTAGAACTCAAGAACAGGCCCAGGCTTCAAAAATCTCGATCTCTACTTGAAATTTTTCCACTAATTAAATAGTTAAAAATTTCCAAACCGTAACATGATGATACCAATGAAGAAAGATTAAAGGTTTTTTACGTAAAACAATAAAAGCAGTATCGGCAAATTCAATAACCTTTAAAAATTACAAAAAAAATCTTCATTTTCAATTTAAAAAACCTTAGACATTGCAAATTTATCCCCCCAATATCCACTAATTCCTTGGGCATAAGAACCAATACAAATTGAATAGAAAAAAGAATTTGAATTGACAGACCTTTTTTTGAAAGAAATTTTTAAGAAAATTAATTTTTGAAAAGAAAACCAAAAAAGTTCTGGTAACATTCTAGCAGCCCCTACAGCAGAAAATGTTGCCAAAAATATATTCCACCAAAAAAGAGCATAATCCAAAACAAAAGGTTTTCGATTGTTCATTAACTTTAAAAAAAGGAAGAAGATTATTTTGAAATAAATCAAAATTATCTTTCTCTTTCTAGCTTTTAAGTCTTATTTTAAATCAAATCCCTTTGAGAGAACTTAATGTCCTTCGAAAGGGCTCAAGTTGGATTACACCAAAAACAGTTAAAGCTCCTTGTTTTTCATGTCATCTCAATTTGTTGAGCTTTTTACAATAATCTGTTTGCCCGTAAAAACCAAAAAGAATGTGAAAAAATTCGATGACATTAAAAAAATATTAGGATTTTTTAACTATTTCAGCTGATCCGAATGACATATGTTTTGACCCGTTTTCTGTTTAGTATTCCGAAATTTTTCCTTTAATTTAAAAATTAATTAAACACTTACTTTTTGTCCACCAAAAATACCAAAAATATAAATAACAGATAAAGTAATTGAATGAATCCAATTTCTTCGCATCCATTCAGTTGAAGAAACCATATCAAATGAAAGTTCATAAGAAGTAACAAAGGAATAATTTTCAACCCCGTACCTGGGGAAATAATCGGATTTTGCCATTTTTTGAAATTTTATTAAAGCTTAAAATAAAAAATTAAAAGAAAATTTTATTAAAAATGAAAGAAAAAATATCTGCAAAAAAGTTGAAAAAAAAACAGAGAAAAAGAAAATTTACAGAGATCAAAAATGTTTGGCATTCTGATATTTTATTTATTTAACGCGTTTTAAAAAAAAACAAATTACTACATTTTTATATTTTTTAATATTTTTAATTTTTGAAGAATTTTTGGAGTAAATATTAAATTTTTATTTTATTTATTTTAATTTAATAATAATTTCAATGCCTTTCAATTTAGTTCCCCATTGTTTTCTAAAATAGTTTAATTATTATTTTTATTATTTAATCTCTTTATGCCCCTTCCATTAAAGATAAACATTTTTTATTGTAAAAGGGGATCTAGCTGAGCATTTAAAACGCTGACTAGGAAGGGGTTTAAGATATATTAAAAAAGAGAAGGTGGAAGTGGAACCCTGGTATCTTTACTTGGTGAACGAAAGCGCCTAGCTAATAATTGCCGGGGGGTCTCATATAAGCGATACCTGCCTGGAACTAAACTTTTATTTTTCTCTTTATTTAATTAAAAAAATAAATTAAATTTTATATAAAAAAAGATCAAAGTTTATTTTTTTTCTTTGTTGTAAAAAAAATAAAAGGTGAAAAAATGTGATGATTATATCTCTTGTTTAAATTGTAATGAAAAAAAATAAATGGCCTGAGTAAATAAAATGTGTAGATAAAAATATTTTTATTTAATTAAATTTATAAAAATAATTTAAAAAAAATTTAATTAAATTTTCTGTTATGGCAAAGCTTTAATATACATACTTAATTAATTTAATTATTTAAAAAAGGACCGCGGCTATACTTTACCTGGATGCCCCGTCAAGTGTACCTAGCGACACCCACAAATTTTAGGAGGCTGCCGTTATGCTGTCGGGAGTTATGAATTTTTTTATTTTAATCGGCATTAAATTTTAATCGGATTTTAATTGCCTTAAACTTTAAAAATTCATAAAAAAAATTTTAAGTAAAGAAAAAATTTCAAATCTTCCAGAAAATGAAGCAGGTATCATTGTGAATATATGACAAAAAAATTAAATAGATGGGAGATCTGAACATTGAGATATACATTTTCAAACTTTAATGATTTAAGGGGGGCTAATTATTTATGACACAACCTAAGTAATATGAAAACCAAAGTTTAAATATTCTAATAATTTAAAAATTAATTTGTTTTTAACTTTTAAAAAATAAAATTAATTAATTAACATTTCTTTTATTCACTCTCTCACTCAAAATGGTACAATTTTAATTAATTCATAATTAATTTGTTAAAATTTTTTATAAAAACTTAGAAACATATGTATTACATAATTATATATTTACAAGAAAAATAGGGGAAAGGAGGAGGATTTTGTTAAATAACCGGTAAAAATATATAATTAATTAATTTAATGACCGGTTAATTTTGTTGATTTTTTTTTGGCTTTTGAGGTTGGAGAAAATTAAAGTTTATTTTTTAATAAAGAGGGGAATGAGAGATCATTTTTATAATATTTTTTTAATTTTTATTCTACACAATTTGTTTTTAAAAACGTTGTTGTTGTTCTCTCGCCATTTGTTGCAAACGTAAAAGTTGAATAAATTCTGCTGCCTAAATTTAAATAAAATTATTTTTTTGTTGAGTTTTGGAGTTAAAAAATGTTTAGGACCCCTTCCGATCTACTACATCCCCAATCTACCCTAAAGCTGTAGCCTAGCTTTATAAAAGTTGGGTCTAGTCAAACTTCGCATAATTCGACTTATCTCACCGAGAGTCAGATGGTACTAAAATTGACTTAATATATTTCTACGTTATACTGAGCTCGAAGAAGAGTTCCTTCCTTTGACGATTCTTATTATGATTATTAGCTCTCGGAAACATACGGATATTCGTTTCTAAACCAAAGAACCGAGCATAGAAATCGAGAACCCGTTGGTCCAATTCATTCCCGAAACGACAACCCCCTACTTCTCATGTAAATTTTAATTTATGTAGTTTACTTGTTCAGGTGTAAGCATTCCCTCATTTTCATTTTCTTGTTCTAATTCACTTTCCAATTCTTGTGCTTCTTCTCCATTTTCTTCAGGTGTAACGATTAATTGTTGTTCTTCTTTTTGTTTAATTGGATTTAATTTAAAGTTCAAAATAACTGGACGACGTTCAATAACATTATTTAAACTTAAATTAACGGCTCTAACACCAATTTCATAACCTTCAGCCTCAACAGCTATTTGGTAATGTCCAGCAATTAGAGGGCGGAAATAGTCACCAGTGATCCCTTAAAATGAATTTTTACTGCAAGATGGGCAATAATTAAGCTAGGATGGAAAAGTGGGAAGAAAATGATTAAATAAGGTGTTAGTGTCTTTAGTAGTAGTGGAAAAGCGGTTACTAGTTGATTGAAGGTTTAGTTGGAAGTAATTTAGTTGAGTATTTTAGCTATCAGGGATAGTCCGGATTACCCGAAATCGAAACCCGATCCGAAGAAAATTTTCTGAACCCGATCCGATAATTTTTCTAGACCTGGTCAATCCCTGCTAGCTATTAGCCGGCGTATTAATCATCGCAAGCGTTTAATCCATCCCGCAAAGACTGTCTCATTGCCGCAGCATAATAGAAGGACTTTCCTTCTATTTTGCCTGTGCACTTGCACGGAAAAACCTCTGGGATCCTAACCAACGCACGTAACCGTTAGCTATTAATTCCATCCATTTAAATAAAAATGTTTACATGTAGTAACTGGATGTTTAATTGCATTTCCTTTTTCTTGTCCATTTTTTGTTACATTTCTAACCCAGACAACAGCATTTGGAATTGGTTCACCCGTTTCTGAATCTTGAACAATTCCTTTAATACCCATATGTGCAAGACGAATAAATTCGAGTAAAGCTATTTTGTTGTCTGCCCAAAATTGTGGTAATTGTTGGGGATTTGGCATCTTTTCACAGCCCAATTCTAATGTTATTTCAAAGGCCTAAAAACAAATATTAAAGATAGAATCCTTCAAATGCCAAATATGGGGACAGAATATTGGGGATGGAGTAGTTAAGGGAAAATAAAGCTGGATAACATTTAAACAGGCGTGGGCTATGGGAGAAAGTAATGCCATAATCTCCATAGCCAAAACTGACAATGACAAGATTTTGCAGGTTCGTTTCCTGCCTGAGACTAAGCTTCCATATTAAGATCACCCAGAAGATCTTAAGTTCTCTTAAAACAAAAGGGGTATATGTTCAGGAATGATCCTTCTTTCTATTAAATTCCTCTCTATATTCCTATGAAGTCCCCAAATTATTTCATTAATTTTTACATTAGTAGCCAAATAATTAAAATCCTGCATTCCACCAGCAACAGAATACCATTTAGCTCCATTAGTAATTCCCCCTTGTCTGGCAAAATTATTTTGTGCTGTTCCATCGCAGGGTTCATGATCGTTTTTAGCCATATGTGCATGTGCTTTTGCATATGTTTCGGCAAGATATCTTTTTTGAGAATAAAAATTAAGAGTAAAATATAAATATTTTTGCTAGTAAATAATCGAATCACGATATTACGGTCGCAGAGGGACTGAAGAAAAAGTATAACTATTTAATTCCTAAAGCTGTGCAGTAGGCAGCGTGGTGTAATGGATAACACATCCGGTCTACTGAAAATGCTGGTTCGCTCCCAGCCGCCGAATAACCTTTTGCACTAGCTAAAGGAGAGATATAGCTATCAGCCTTACTCTAAACCGAGAGTCAGTAAAGCGTTATTTCGATAAGTTCGTTTAGAGGTCACAATAACACAAAAATATTTTTTAATTCCCTCTTTTTATTAAATCTAAACTACCTAAAAGTAGCATCATCAGGTGATTTAGAATAAGCACTTAAAGACATCGGTTCTCGACTTTCATCAAAAGGGTAATTAGCTACCATATCCCCTTCGTGCAAATTTGCAGAAATAACAAAAGGCCAAGAGAGTATCCATTCCCCAACAGAACTAACTTCTGGCTCGAAATGTTGTTGGTTTGGATTTTGAAATAATTCTAATAAATGGTCATAAAAAGGCCAGCTTTTTGATTCCATAAAGTAAAAGAGTGTATTTAAATCTGGAAAGTTTCTGTTTAAGTCAACGCCATGGACATTTCCTCTTCCTGTTAGCCAACCACGATCTTCTGGTTTCTAAAAAAATAATTGTTTTTTGTAAATAACATTTAGCCTCTCATTATAAGAGACCTCATTATAAGAGACACCCTTAAGGCTGAAATGGGATCTTATAATGGAGGTATCTTAAATAGAGGGTATCACCTAGGCAGCTCTCCCCACCCAATGACCAACAAAAAATTAATGTATCCTAAATAGAGGTGTATCTATTATTGGGTGTGTCTTATAAGGAGGTTTTTTGTGTAATTATTTCTTACAGTTTTGTAAGCCAATTCAAATCCATCAGGATTCATTGACGGCATAATATGAATATTTGTTGAATTTAATAATTCAACAATCGGTCTTTGAGCCCCTCTCCAAGCATCACACAAATAATCAGCTAAACGAATTAAAAGTTCCCTTCCAATAGCTTCATTTCCATGCATATTCCCAACATATTTAACTTCTGGTTTAACTTTAAAGGAAATTTTATCTCAAAAATTTTTCAAAAAAAATATTTTTTACGTGTTTGATGACGTCCAGGATGCAATGAAAATTGTCGGGAGTCGGGAGTTCCCGACAAATGGTTTGGAGAGGAGGAGGAAGAGTCGTGGCACCAGCTAGTGAAATGTGGCACTAGCACCAGACTGTTGGTAGTGCCAACAGTCAAAGGAAGGAAGAAGAGCAGTTGAGTGACTCGGAGCACGAGTCACTTTAGCCGAATAAGAGTAGGAGTGGTGAACGGTAGTGCCGTTCACTTTTTCTCAACCAAAAACACACAAATTGAACAACTTCCAAGTTCTAATAAATCACAGCCGGCCGCCAAAAAATCCACAAAAAATTAACACAGTTCA